TGGGATCATGACCTGAGCCGAAGGCAGACGCTTCACCGACTGAGCCACCCAGGCGCCCAAGACATTATTTTCAAAGGAACAACAAACATACAAAGCTGAATTCTCAGCATGAACAAAGGAAGCCAAAAAACAATAGATTAATACTTTCAATGGACCAAGAGATAGAAATTCTCAACCTAGAATTATATATATGTAGCAAAAGTATCCTTTGGGGCGCCTGGCTGGCTCCGTTGGAAGAGCATGTGACTCTTGATCATTAGATTGTGTTTGAGCCCCACGTTGGGTGTAGAGATTACTTAAAATAAATAAATAAACTAAAAAAAAAACTTTCATGAACAAGGGTATAAGACTTTTTGACTGGGGGAAAAAATTTGAGAATTTGCTGCCAGGCTGACCCTAAATAACAAAGTTCTACAGGCAGAAAAAGAGATCCTAGATTAAAATTCTGAGGATAGTTAAAGAAAGTAGTAAACATTTAGGTGAATTTAAACAAACACTGACTGTTTGAAATAACAATAGTTGTGGGAGTAAAAAAAAAAAAAAAATGAATTACAAGACAGTAACATAAGTCTAGGCAATAATAGTGATAAGAGTTAAGGTATCCTAACATCCTTTGCATTGTTGAGAATAAATATATTGAATAACATTGGGACTAGATTAACTATGTCACCACTAGAAGAATAAAAAAAAAGTGAAAACCTCCAGAGTTGAGAAGGGCAGGGCAGAATATTTAAAAATATACCTAAATATACCTAGCAAAACAAGATGGAAATAGAAAACTTCTGTATATTTGTAAATTAAGAAACCATGAGTCCAAAGAAGAAAGTATAATATAAATGAGAAAACCTTTATAACTAAAGAATAACTGAAAAATACCACGAATCAGAACAAATGATATGAAGTTTCAAAGAGTTGGAAGAAGAGTTAATGCATTCATTCATTCATTCATTTATTTGACAGTGTGTGCAAAAGAGAGCACGGAGCATGTGCACAAGCAGGGGGATGCATAAGCAGAGGGGAGCGGAAGAGGGAGAAGTAGGCTTCCCACTGAGCAGGGAGCCCGATGTGGGTCTCTATCACGGGACTCTGAGGTCATGACCTGAGCTGAAGACAGACGCTTAACCAACTGAGCCACTCAGGCGCCCCAAGTTAATGCCTTTAATGCTTAGAAAAGAAAGACTAAAAGTAAATGAAGTGATACGTGTCCAATTTAAAGGTTAATGAAGCCCAATACAAAGAAAAATGAAAGCAAAGAGGTCTTAAAGATATGAGTAGAGGGGCGCCTGGGTGGCTCAGTCGTTAAGCGTCTGCCTTCGGCTCAGGTCATGATCCCAGGGTCCTGGGATTGA